ACTGAGTACTTTAATAAAGTAAATTTTATTCAAAGAAGAAAAAATACTGTTGTTGAAGGTTAATTGTGGGTCTCTTTCTAGGGTAAATTAAATATACAGAGGATAGGGGAATTAGAATGGCACAAGACAGACAAGAAGCCCTTCCCGTGAACTATAAATAGGCCCATGAGACTTCCTGCTGCCCCCTCAGCACCCACCCACTTACCGGACATTCATCCTGAAATTGCTCCCAAACCTGGACATGTGGCGAGGCATTCCTTTCACAGCTGAGAGGTCCTCCTGCCAGGGCCTCCAGCTTGAAACTAAAAACAGAATTTAAATCCTGAAGCCAAGTAGATTTTACCTTTCAAACAGACTTTACCTTGCAGAAGTAATCTTTGTTTAAATTTAATTACTGGAGAGTGGTTCCACCAGCTTTTTCTATGCTGGCTGCCATTACTAACAAAGGTGGCTTGAAGCTCAAGGGCCCACACACTGAACCTTCCTTTAATTTACACTTAAAAGGTAGGAAGAATTGTCACCCCAATCCAAAAATAACCTATTTGCTCTGACCTTTCCCTGGGAGGAAATGAGAGAACAGTTCACTTGTATTGATATACAAATATTTTTTGTCTCCTTCCAAATTATACCTGTGTCAGATCTAAAGAGTTAAATGGCTTCTCACTCTTGATTGTTAACTGATTCTTTGATATCTACCTGCAAACATCTAAATGAAATGTTTATATATATATATATATATACACATACACACACACACACACACACACACATTTCTTGCTTTTAGTTAGCCACCATCTGTTGACTCCCCAATGTAGAAGATGCGGGTTTAGCTTTCTCCTGCACACCCTTTTGCACCCCTACCACACATGTCCATTTCCAGTCCTGTGTCAGAACTTGCTCATTCTGCCCAAGCAGGAGGATATCATGGATGTCCTATGATGGTTTGCAAGATGTCCAGAAGGTCCAGATCTCCTCAGGCTATTTTTTAAAAAAGATTTTATTTATTTGAAAGGTAGAGTTACAGAGAGGCAGAGACAGAAGCAGAGAGAGACAGAAAGAGAAAGAGAGAGAGAGAGAGAGAGAGAGGTCTTCCATCTGCTGGTTCACCCCCCTGACGCCTACAACGTCCAGAGCTGCACTGATCCGAAGCCAGGGGCTAGGAGCTTCTTCCTGTCTCCCACATGGGTGCAGGGGGCCAAGCACTTGGGCCATCTTCTGCTGCTTTCCCAGGCCATAGCAGAGAGCTGGATCGGGCGTGAAGCAGCCGGGACCCGAACCGGCGCCCATATGGGATGCTGACCCTACAGGTAAGGCCTTTACCTGCTGTGCCACAGTGCCAGCCCCTTCAGGCTATTTTATGACAATCCCTGGGTCAAACTGTAAATGTGTACTTTTATCTGTTCCAATGGGAATGTCAATTGTTTCTGGTTCTTTCTTAGATTGGAATAGGAAAGAATGCATTCGCTAAAAACAATGATATGTACCAAATACCTGGGGCTTTATGAGTCAACTCTAGTGAACATATCACATCTGGCACGGCAGCTGCAATCAGGCCTGCTAATGGGTTGAGCTTGCAGTAATCCCCTGTCATCCTTCAGCTCCATCTATCTTTTTGCAGGGCCAGATAGAGTGTTAAATGGAAATATGATGGGAATCAACATCTGTTTTCTTTGGATTCATAAGAGTAGCACTAATTCTTGTCATCACTTCCTGAGATCCAACATTATTTGATTTCTGGTGTCTGAATGCCTGTGTTCATCCAAAATGTATACACTGAAGCCCTAACACCAGTGTGATAGTATTTGCAGTAGGATCTCTGGGAGGTAATTAAGTTCGAAGCATGTCTTAGAGTCCATTTGGGCTGACATAATAGCCTGGACTGGGTGGCATATAAACAACAGAAATTTCTTTTTCTTGGTTGTATAGGCTGGGAAGTCTGTGACAAAGGCATCAACAGATTCTGTATGTGCTGAAGGCCCACTTCCTGGTTCAGAGACAGCCATCTTCTCATTGTATGCTTCTGTCAAGGCAGGGATGAGGGTGCTCTTTAAGGTCTCTTTTACAAAGGCGCTAAAGCCATTCTTAATTCACCTTGCAAGGACTCACCTCCAAATACTACTGCATTAAGAATTAGGTTTCAACATACTAGTTTGGGGGGGACACAAATAGTCTGTAACAGATGAGGTCACACAGGTGGGATCATGTCAGTATTCTTATAAGAAAAGAGATACCAGTGTGTCCATGTACACACATTGATAAAGGCCATGCGAGGACACTGTGAGAAGGTGGCAATCTGTGTCGCTCTCCTGCCCGCGGAGGAACCACACGGAACGCTGTTTGCTTCCCCTTCAGTAGGGCTTTATTAATAGAAAATGTTACAGGGTAGAAAGATAGAGAAGAGGAAAAAGAGAGCTCTACGCTGTATTCTCTTCCATATATAGTCCTTTGCCACCTATCAGAATTGTCCCTCAGTTCATGCGGCAATCAGACCAATCAGGTTTGAGTCCACGCGGTGTGCACGCAGTTCTCCTCCAATCGATGATAAGGTCAGCTCCCAGTCATTCGGCATTTGCAACACTCCATTCTCAGTTCCGAATTTTTCTACTTCCTCTCAGCGCCATCTTGTGAGAAATGGGCCCTGTCTCCCACAAATCTGCAAGCTGGAAAGGACCCTTACCAAACATACACTCTGCCAGCATCTTGGTCATGGGCTTCCCAGTCTCCAGAACCAGAAAATAAACACCTGCTGGTCAAGCTGTCCAATCTGTGGTGTTTTGTTACAGGAGCCGGAGCTAAGGTGGCCCAATGTTTGGCTGAGGAAGGCAGCTTCAAAGGCATCCACTTGGTCTTCCCCATCATGACAGCTTTTACCCCGCAGGTCCTAATGGGTTTACAACTGCCAGTGAGTCAACCCCATTATACATTTGGAAAGTGCAAAGTGACCAGTGGGTGAAGTAACAGACCCAGCTGACTTAACTCTGAATGGGACCTTGATATGACTTCATTTATTTTTTTTTTTAAGATGTATTTTATTTATTTGAAAGAGTTACAGAGAGAAGTAGAGACAGAGAGGTCTTCTATCCACTGGTTCACTCCCCAGAGGGCCGAAACGGCCAGAGCTGCGCCAATCCAAAGCCAGGAGCCAGGAGCTTCTTCTGGGTCTCCCATGAGGGTACAGGGGCCCAGGAAGTTGGGCCATCTTCTACTGCTTTCCCAGGCCATAGCAGAGAGCTGTATTGGAAGTGGAGCAGCCAGGACTCGAACCAGCACCCATATGGGATGCTGGTACTTCAGGCCAGGGCGTTAATCCACTGTGCCACAGAGCCAGCCCCTCCCGGAGTCTTTTAATCCATTCTTGTCCCGCCTACGTGCCCTAGCGTCTCCGGCATTTCAGTTCCATTGTCAGAGTTTCTGCTTTTCTCATGCTTCTGGGAGTCATTGAAGTAGCGAGTTTATAATGGCTTTTGGGAGGTCCTTTTCAGGATGTTAAACTCTATCTTTTGGGAGGATGCTCCCAACTCAATATAATTTCTCCTATCCAATTTTATGTCCCAGCCCGTCTGGTCAAGTATTCTCTGAATTCAGTCCCATGCACACTCCCCATACTCCTTTTGGGACATGCTAGCTAGGTCTCACATCTTTAGGAGCCAGTCCTTTACCTCCATCATCAGAGGCAGCACCTTCCCAATTATGTTCTGTTGCAACTTAACACTAATAGATTTCCTGGCCAGAAGGCTAGGTGGGAGGCAAGGGGTGCTGGGGGAGGGGAGAACATATTCCCCTCCAAGTAGAAACAGCAAAGTGACTGCTCTCAGAAGGGAGCAGTGGGCCCCACTGCAGATGTCAGGGGAGGCTGGGAAATCAAAATTTCCAGGTATACCACCTAGAAGTTCCCTCCATGTGCCCGGGTGCTAGGTTTTCTCAACCATGGCCCTGACTTTGGCACAACCGAACTGCTATTTTGAGTACATCACCATATTTTAAGTGCAGCCAGTGTAAGGTGCTGGTGTTGGTACTGTTTTCTCCACGTTTCCCCTGCAGATGAGAGCTCCTTTGAGTGTCATGAAGAAGTTCTCTGGCATTTACACCTGTCTTTCGGATGCTTATACTCATCCTCAGCTGTCCACTATTTCTCCATAGCGAGTAGAGTTTGGCAAAAGCCATTCAATTCTGTTATCCTTATAGAAAGAACCTCTTCTACCATATGCCTCAAAACCCTGATACATCACACCTGCTAGTGTGTGCCCTTTCCCGTGGTACACCATCCAGATTGGCCCTCTGCCTTGTGCCAGGGGCTGGATGTGTCTTACTGATAGCAGCCAGGCAGTCCAAAAGTCAGGGCTCAAACCCCATATGATTGCCTGTTTTCTATAACTAATCCTGGTTTAAATGCTTGCAGGTATATATTTAGGGGGGAAGCAGGTGATGAGACAGAGCCTGGGGTACAAAAATGTGAAAAGGGTGAAGCAGCAGAATGAAGAAGTGGAAAATGTCAAATTCTAGTACACTCTAAACTCTGGCCAACATGGCCAAGAACTCTGAAGTGACTACTGCTCATCAGAGGTATCCAGCGGAGGCCATAATGCTGAGCCCTCATATCTCAGCTTTGCTTAATCGTCTAGTGTAAGCTACCCCGGAAAGAGCATAACCGGGCAAGGTCGCCAACTGCAATTAAAGGAGTCCCTGCTGGAGCTGACAATGGTAGGTGCTCCCTGCAACTTGGGAGCAAGTCCTTCCACGCAGGGGAATCTGGGCAGCCATCTCCGTATCTACCACAAAGGGCTGGGTGGTATCTAGCACATTCTTTCTTCAAGGAATCAAAAGATGTAGGTAGGCACATCAAAAAGTTTGTGTCACATAAAAACGGAATTAAAAGAAAAGTTTAGGGGCAAGCACTGTGGTGCAGCTGGTTTAGTAGCCGCCTGCAACGCCGGCATCTCATGAGCGCCTGCTTTGCACTCTGGCTGCTCTGCTCTGGATCCAGCTCCCTGATAACATACCTGGTAAAGCAGCAGCAGATGGCCCAAGCGCTCCGGCCCCTGCCACCCATGTGGGAGACTGAGGTGGCGCTCCTGGCTCCTGGCTCCGGCCTGGACTAGCTGCAGCTGTTGCCACCACCTGGGGAGTGAACCAGCAGATGGAAGCTCTCTCTCTGCCTTCAAATATGGATTTTTTAAAAAAAGATAAGTTTACTATGGGGCAAACAGTTTCTTAAATCTATGCATATGAGAAGTCTTCAAAAGGTCAAGGAAAATGTGTATAATGAAAAATTATGTATGGATTTCTTTTTCTGCACAAAATGGACTTATCTTTTAATTTCAATTTTCCACGAACTTTTTGAAGTACCCTCATACTTATTTCTTTTTTCCATCTTCTGAGGAAATCTTTTTCATTAACTTGGTAAGGGAAAGTATAACAGAAAACCAAACATTATCTGGTTGCTTGGGGGGGGTGGGGACTGTCATCTTTGATCTCTTTTTTCTTACCATACCATGCTTCCGGTCACTCAACGAAGCTGGTTGGCTGTACTTCAAATATAGTGGAGGCGTTTGGCCTAATGGTTAAGACACCAACTGGGATGTCTGCCCCCCATCTCAGAGTGCCTGTCTTTGCCTCTCCATTGGCCTCCTGTTCCCGTTTCCCGCTGCGGCGGCACCTGGGGAGGCAGCAGGTGATGGCTCCAGCAGTTGAGTCCCTTCCAGCCAAGCGAGAGATCTGGGTGCGTTCGGAGCTTCCAGCTTTGGCCTGACCCAGTCTCAGCTGCTGTTAAGATCTGGGCAGTGACTTTCTCTTTCTCTGTCATGTATATGGCTATGTGTCTATATGTATGGATATATGTATATCCATGTGCGTATATGTATGTATAATCTCTTGAATCTCACGTTCTGAGCACTTCCATTTATCACAAGTCACCAGTTTACTCCTTGGCCACCGAAATCAGCCCCCTAGTGGAGCTTCCTGCTTGCATTCTTGAAGGTCAAAGGTCTGTCCACCGCGGCGGGGGGGGGGGGGGGGGGGACTGTTTCACAAATCCTGCCCCTGCCGGCTGAGCACCACCCAGCGCCTTCCACCCCGGCCTGCTGCGTGGGGGCCCAGCCGGTTTCGCTCATCTCCTGCGTGTAGTCTTCTCACCCAGGCTCACACGCTCTCAGGAGCCTGGCTACCTCACCTCTCTGCAAAACACCAAACGCGTCCAGGACTTTGTATCTGCTGTTCTTGCCGCCGGGACCATTCTTCCCCTTGGGTCCCTCCCGGGCTCGCTCTGCTCAGCCGTCAACTGCAGGGCGCTTTCCCGAATATGCCACCTAAAACGGCATGCCCCTGCTGTCGCTTCCATCGTGTGTGCCCATTTTTAGTTTAACGTCTGTCTCCTCTCGAATGTACAACTCCTTTAGCGCAAGGAACGTATTTCATTCAGGCCACAGTCCTAAGCGTTTTGAAAAATGCCGGGCACACAGCAGAACCGAAACATTCGGATTTGGACTAAATCTCTCCTGCTTAACTTCAGCACTTGCGCCGAGGTCGCGCCGCACAGGTAAGCACACAAACACAAAAGGGCACCCGAGCCGCCTGCTTCGCTGCTTTTGAGCCTCCGAGCGGCGGCTCGGGTCGGAACCGCTGTGTGGCCCACGGCGGGTCGGGCTCGAGAGGACACCGTGAGGCGATCGGCGTCTGAGGAAGGAGCCTCGCCCTAAAGCACTCTGCTGAGGCTCCGCCGTCCTCCGTGACGGCGCTGGTTTTCTCTAGACGGCCCTGGGGCCGGGGCTGCTGCCCGTGACAGAAAGCCCACGCACGGAGCAGGACGCGGCGCGGCCTCCATTTCCCGTAGCCGGTCTCCCTGGTAACCCCGCCCGAGCGTTCACGCAAGAAAGGAGGGCGGGGCTCGCGGGGAGGGCCTAGCTCCGGAAGCCGCGCCCTCGCCGGCGTCCCTCGGGCCAACACTACGCACAGCTAGACTCTTAACAGTCGGCCGCGAAAGCGCGCACGCGAGCGCCAATGAGAGCGAGAGGCGGGGAGCCGCGCCTGAGGAACTCGGTGTAAGTCTCATAAGGATTGGCCCGAGCCTTTCTGTCTTCTTTGTTGGTATTGGCTGGATTTCTTTCTCCCGCCCATTTGCTAGCTTTTGTCTGGGTACTTCTGATTGGCTCTGCCTGGGCAGTGAAGGGGGTGAGGTTTTGGGGATGCTTCGTCGCGGATTGGCGGATTTGAGCACCTAAGGGCTCCTCCTTGAGGAAGGGGGCCCGGCCCATCTTGCCTCTGTCCCGTCTCCCGACCCGTACTCGTAACTCGCGCGCACGAATGGTTAAAAAAAAAAAAAAAAAAGGGTGTGAGGCTCGAGCCCGCCAGCCAGGCCTCCAGTGCGCGCCCTCAGCGAGGACCCGCGCGAGCTGCCCGAGACTGTGCCTGCGGTGTTTGAAAGTGCGGAACCCGTTAGGATCTTGGGGGAGCTACCGTTCCAGCTGGTTCCGGAGCCCGTGCGCGCCGGGGGCCAGGGGCGGTCGCGGGGCGGCCCTGGTGTTTCGCGTCTGTGCAGCGTGGAGGCGAGGACCGGCATTTTCGAAGGACGCCACCTTCAATCGCAGTGCTGGCGCGGGCGGAGGCTAACACACGGGGGTCCTGAGACTGAGGAAAACGCGCCAAGTTCCCCTCGGCGGTGGAGTGGGGAGACCCTAGCGGTTCAGGCGCTCGGCGAGCGGGACCGCGGCTTGGTGCGCTCTTTGGCACCCGGGGCGGGCGCGGGCAGGCGCCGCTCCGGGCATGTAGTGGGCGCAGGCATCAGGCAGGACCGAGCGGCGGCCCGGGTTCCCGCCCTTGTGAGTGGATGGTCACTCCCCCGCGGGGAGGGCGACCGGCCAAGCTTTTCCTTGGGTCGGGGGCCCTGCGGGCTCGGGCCAGGGACTCACCTGCCGCACCCACACTCTTCCCGGCTGGACTCGCCGGCGTCAGCGCCGCGGACCGCGTTTGGGCCATGGCCAGGTGAGGAGGGCCTGAGAAGGGGTTGGTGCTCTGCGTGGAGGCAAGTTCCGCGGGCAGCGTAGTGGGGCTGCGGGCAAGACCCCGGACCGTTTCGTTTCGGTCCTGCACCCTCGCCGCGCTGCCGGCCGGGGCTCCGCGGCGGCTCTTGCAGTCGGGGAGGCAGGTGCGGGCTGGGCGTACACAGGCCGGCTCCACGGGCGCGGGGCCGGAGCGCGGTGCGGGCCACGGCGCCGCCAGCCGCCCCCACCGTGCCCCCGGGGTGTGTGAAGGGCACGGCCGCCTTCTCGGTTTCCTCTCCCGTGGAGCCCGATAGGGAGAAGCAGTACTGATTGCCCTGACGTTGCCTTCGGACGGCAATTGCGAAATTTTACCGCGCGTTTTCTTTCATGTATAGTTTCCTCAGTATTTAGAACGCCACGTGTCTTAAAACTTCAGCGGAGATGTTCGGGATTGTTTTACGTTTCTTCTGGAAAAATAGGAATTGAGTCCTGTCATCTTAGAAAGGAAAGAACTTGAAACTGATAGGGCTGAGTGTTCGTGCTGTCATTTGTTCGAGAATGTTTACTGTCGGAGGCATTGTTTTCTGCGTTAGTGGATTTACAATTACAGAAGCGGTTTTAGTAGAACCTCCCCGCCCCCAGCCGCTCCCGGGTAGGATGCAGCACCCGGTAACGCGTTGTATTCTCGGTCATGTGCAGTGTTTGATCCTTGCTTTGAGGGGGCCAGGTTTGGTTTGGTTTGGTGTAAGAAGCCGATCCGCTGTTCCGGCTGCCTGTTGGGTCTGCTCTGTCACCTAGAATCCAGCGTCTATCGTTTATCAGAATTGGCTCTTAAATACCTTTTACGAGAACCACTAATACTTGGAGAATCCCAGACGATGGAGCGCAGGCTGGTTTATCGTTCATCACCAGCATTAGGTGACCAGAAGAGTAAGTTGAGCCGGAGACAGCTTGGGGAGATTGGTCGACTTTCCAGGAAAAGTGGTTTCACTGCTGGGTTCGGGCTGTGAATTCCTAGATCAGCGTCAGTTGAGTGAAATGGAATTTGAGTGGACTTCGCGTAGCTCATCTTACTCCTCTGTGTTTACATTTGAAACTCATAGCTCGGTTTTTTAGGTTCTAAGTAATTTTACGGAAGTGCTCCAATCAGATTTCCCCCCAGATTTTCCAGTGAAATATACAACTACCACAAATATTGCCGTATTTCATCTGAAAGTTTTACTTTAAAAAGAAAGGCTGCAAAAGGGAAAGCAAATCATCTATTTTCCTACTTAGGGCACTTTTAAAAAATAGCTTTAAAAAGTTAGAAAAAGTAGTAGAAAAAGGATATACAAAAGTGCAGCAAACAGTTTTTTACACCACCGTTCCACTTTGCATGCATTTTATCTTTGAAGTTTTTAGATATAACTGAATACAAGACCTGTATTTTTGTATTTGAGTTATATTTAGAGCATTTAGCGACTTTATTTTATATACTCATATGAACGGAAGGGAGGACTGGTTAATGCCCAGAACTACTTTGCTTTTCTATTCATCCCTGTTTGCTAATTCAGTGTTGGACATGGTAGGTGCTTCATCAGCTTTTTAAAATGAATAGAATGTAATGAAAAATTGTTTTTATTCCTTGATACTGCTTTACTGTAGGTCTACTAAAAACACTTTCTGAGGTGCCCTTATTTAAGAGATTTTAAAGCATAATGTGACTAGCTCATTAGCAATAAACAGTCTGTTGTCAAGCATTAGGTTTCCAAATAGGAATTTCTAATTTGTACCATTCCCTGGGTAAATTTTTCAGAGTTGAAGATTTTGTTGCCTGTAACTGAGAACTAACGAAACTTTTGCTTTTATGATTAATAGATATAACTGGTGATTACAGCTGCCCTCCGTATATTAATTCTTGTCAACTCCTTTGGATTTGAAGAGAAAATGCCTGGTGTCATACCTAGTGAAAGTAATGGGCTTTCAAGAGGTAGTCCATCCAAGAAAAACAGACTTTCCTTGAAGTTTTTTCAGAAAAAGGAAACTAAGAGAGCCTTGGATTTTACAGATTCTCAAGAAAGTGAAGAAAAAGCTTCTGAATATAGAGGATCTGAAATGTATGTATTTTGCTTTAAGTCTATTTCTGTACTTTAAAAAATCTGCATCAAGTAGTGAACTTGGGTTGATACCTCCAGACTGACCTGGTAGTACGCAGAGGCGCAGGCATTAACATACATACAAATACACATTAGAATGTAAGTGTAGCAGTATGTAGTAGGAACAGAAGACAACTGGGGGTTTCCCACAGTATTCACATCTGTAGTGTTTACTCATTAACATTGTGTTCAAGCTGTTTAGACTAACTTGTAGAAGTATTTATGGACTAAAGTTATCATTCAGAGTTTAAACATTATTTGTAGTGTAATACAAAAGTGTGAAGGGTAGGGAATTAGGATATTTGGGTGTAGGAAACTTGAGAGTTACCTGACATTTGAACAAGTCTTGTAGCTATGCAGTCACAACTACTCATATACCTGTTGGAGGAATATAGTTGCAAACTGTATTTAAAAAACAGTATCTTCAGTGAATGCTACAATACTTTATTCCATAAGGTTTCTCTAGCTGAAGTTGACACTCCGTGTTCAACAAATAAGCACTCTGCTGGGTGACCAAAGTGAATTTGGTTCCATGTATAATTTCCTAATTTCTATCAGTCATCAGTTGAAGAGATGATGTGTCAACCTTTATCAGCATTCATGCTTATAAATGAGGTACTCGAGTAGTAATAGCTAGAGCAGCTATTCAAGAATACTTGGCCTTGCTTGGTTAAAGTGAAGTAAAAATGATAAACTTGAACAGCTTATTTCTAAGTGAAGGATAGCGGAATAATTTTCTTCAGAGACTCATTTTCCTCTTAATCTTTATTAGCAAAATCTGACTTAAGAACCTTCTCTCCTGAATGTTACAGCCAAGTTATTCCCAGGTTTCTATTTAGAGCTAAGCTGTGACATTTTTGTCACAGTGGACTAAGCAAATCACAGTACCAGTTTCTCCTCTTCCTGCTCTGTAAAACTGTATTAACATTCTAGGAGAATTTTTTTGAGGCTTATTGAGTGTAATAATGTTTTTAAATTTTGTATTGTTGGTATATAGCCATTTGTGAGTCTGTGTGGATTTCTTAAAAATGTCATCTGAATAAAATCTATATATTCTTCAGATTATACAACTTTTGGGGAAAGATGAAATAATATTTCCCTTTTGTTTGAGATACAACTAGTCATTTTGCCTTTCTCCCCTTTGCTTAATAGTGATCAAGTTGTGCCTGCAGCACAGTCCTCACCTATAAACTGTGAGAAGAGAGAAAACTTGTTACCGTTTGTGGGACTGAATAATCTCGGCAATACTTGTTATCTTAACAGTATACTTCAGGTAAACTGACCATTTTGCTGTATAATAAAATTTTACTGTAAGGCAGGGGTGGGGAACATCTATCTAGCAAATGCAAAATCATTTTGGTTTTGGCCCTGGCAAGACAATTGCAGGCAGGACTTGAAATTCAGTAAATCTATAGCAGGCTAATTTTCCAGTTGATAATTTTATAAGGCCCACAAATGATGTTATAAATATCCAGATGACCCTTGACAGGAAAAAGGTTCGCCATCCCTGCTGTTATGCAAAGAGTGATACAACATTTAAGGTCTCTGAGAATTCCAGGTTACAGGAGGACTTTCATTGTCTGTACTGAATTTGCTTTTGATTGTAAGTAAACCATTCTCTGGTGTAACAGAAAGTGACATACTAAATAAAGGTGGTAAAGGTAAAATGAGTAGACCTGGGTTAAGTAGATGTCAAGACATTTAATTTCTCTGCCTGATTTCCTGGTGCTATGATGATAATGTATCTTTAACTCCATGAAATTATATAGCTATTACGTTGTGTGCTCTTGTCATCTTAGTGGTATCTAACCAGGCTCAGTGTTTTGTAGAGGGAAGACAAAAGTTTAGACCCATAATTTTTGGTAATATACACTGAAAGTGGTTTTTTAATGATTTGGGATACATTATTGTTCAGTAAACATTTAGACAATCTCACTTTTTATAGGTATTATATTTTTGTCCTGGTTTTAAATCTGGAGTGAAGCACTTATTTAACATTATTTCAAGGAAGAAAGAAGCTCTAAAGGATGAAGCCAGTCAGAGAGATAAGGTAAAAAAAAAAAAAAGTAAAACAGCAAACAAAAAAGTAATGCTAGATTAATGGAAATTCACTTGTATAGAAATAAAGTAACATACTAGAGGGTTTGGGAGAAGGATGACAAAAGATATCTGTTAATTTTTTGAAAACTGAATTTCAGGCAATTATTCATTGTCATAAGGTAACTAGATTATCTTTTTAAGAGTGTTCTCCTGTCTTCTAGTTGTTTATCAGAAAGTTTTGTTTTCAGATTCATTTAAAAAATTTAAGTGGATATATTTAAAGAAATCTTTGATGTCTATAATTTGAAAATGATTACCATCCACATAAAAAGTAACTAAAAAATCCTCTTAGAGTTTGTCTTATTCATAAATTAGTGCTGTAATGAAATTTTAAAAAGCCAGTGTTGTTCAGTGAAACAAAAAAGAAGGGGGAAGGTACTTTGTTCAGAACAGAAAATAATTGGTTTTGGGTGTTTCTTTCTTCACAGGGAAATTGCAAAGAAGATTCTTTGGCAAGTTATGAATTGATATGCAGTTTACAGTCCTTAATCATTTCAGTTGAACAGCTCCAGGCTAGTTTTCTCTTAAACCCAGAGAAATATACTGATGAACTTGCTACTCAACCAAGGCGACTGCTTAACACACTCAGGTATAACCCGTAGTAACAATTTTAGGATTTCAATGTAAACTGTTTCTAACTTTGGAAGAGAGTGAAGAGTCAGGAATAAAGGGCAAGGAAACTCTAGATCCACAGTTATTTGTATCCCAGAGGCTGTGAAAACGGAGAATGTTTTCAAAAATTTGATATTAAATTCATTACATCTGAAATTGTATGAGGTTATTTATAGTCTTTATTCATCATATTCACCTCTAATGTAACTATTCATATATTTTTCTGTAGAAATAAAGTTGAATTAGAATCCTGGCTCATACTGGTGATTCATATGCTGTTTATGTGCCATTTTGCCTTTTAAATCTGAAAATTTCTGGATTCCCAAACAAATGTGATCCTCAAGATTTCAAAATAGAAGTGTAATGTGTAAGAGCTGTAAATTCCAAATATTATAGTTACATGTACTTAGAGTTATGAATCAACTGGATTAGATTGTTTTGTGGTATTAAAAACAAAATTTATAGATAAAATAGCCTTATTTAAAATATCATACTAATAGGACTTTTTAAAAAAAATTGAATCATTTAGTTTAGAAATAGGCCTACATGTACTACATTGCTGTACCTTTGTTAAGAGACATTGTAGGTTGGTAGCCAAGAACAAATTTGAATCCTCTCTGCGTCTTAACTCTGTGATTTTGGGCAAGTTATTTAACTTTTATGTGCCTGTTTAGGTCCCTTTATGATAGTACCTACTTCATGGGATTATTATGAGGATTATATATGTGTGTGTGTATGTGTGTGTATTTTTTACATGTAGTGTTTTGAATAAAGTCTGACATGGTAAATACTAAACAAGTATTAGCTGTTTCTAATGAAAAGGATTAAAGAACTGTTGGTAATGTGAAAACAGTACATTTTATTTTTATTGCTAGAAGTTCAAATTAGTAGCTGAGTAAATGGTTTAGATTTTTTTTAAATGAAGTAATTTGATGTCCCTATGAATGAATTCATTTCTACATGCAAGGTTTTCTTTTATGTACTGTACCTTCAAAACTAGAATAGATGAAATGGAAATTTTTATTTATAGGGAACTCAACCCTATGTATGAAGGATATCTACAGCATGATGCACAGGAAGTATTACAGTGTATTTTGGGAAACATTCAAGAAACATGCCAACTACTAAAAAAAGAAGAAGTAAAAAATGTGGCAGAATTACCTACTAAGGTAGAAGAAAAACTGCATCAGAAAGAGGAAACGAGTGATATGAACAATGCTGAGACTGACAATATAAGGAATTCTGAGGACTATAAAGAAAAGCTCCCAAAAGGAAATGGTAAAAGGAAAAGTGACTCTGAATTTGGTAACATGAAGAAAAAAGTTAAAGTGTCCAAGGAATACCAGTCACTGGAAGAGAACCAGAGACAAACTAGATCAAAGAGAAAAGCTACAAGTGATACATTAGAGATTCCTTCTAAAATAATCCCGAAGTGTATTTCTGAAAATGATAGTACAAGACCCTCACAAAAGAAATCAAGAGTAAAAATAAATTGGTTAAAGTCTTCAGCTAAGCAACCCAGCATTCTTTCTAAATTCTGTAGTCTGGGAAAAATAACAACAAACCAAGGATCCAAAGGACAATTTCAAGAAAATGAATATGATCTTGAAGAGGACTTGGGGAAGTGTGAAACTGATAACACAACTAATGTTTGTGGTCTTGACTCTCCAGAAAATAAGGTTAAACCTGTAAATGTTAATGAAGCTAAGCCTATAAACAAAGGTCAGTATAACTCTTAGACTTTCATAGGTAGGAATATTAATAGCTACAGAATTATAATGCACAGCATAATTTGTATGGCTAAAATTTTTGTTATATGAGAAAGACATTTAACACTAAATGTGAACTGGTATTTTTCTAGCATTGTTCTTAGATGTTTGTGTGTACACAAACACATACACAAAGGTAATTGAAAAAGTCTGGAAAATGGAATTTAAAAGTTTACTTTGGTGCAAAAAAATTAAAATCCACAAATAGTTTTTTCTCATGACCCCTGAAGACCTTTTGTTCAAATTATTACATATGTAATATTAATTTGGGAAGTTAAGTACATTTGAGTAGAAAGACTGTCTTTTCCTATTGTCTATGCAGTATTTAGCATAAACGAATGAATGAAATTTTTAAAGTAGAAAGCACAAGAAGTTATGCCTAATTTGAATTTGGCTACATGGTTTTAAGATCTGCTTATTTCAGAGAAAATGTGCAGTATTAATATTATTAGTCATTTCATCAAAAGTGCCATCCTTATTCTGGGAACAAAATATCTATAGTAATTCATACTAACAAGCGTCTTTAAAGGGAATTTATGTTTCATTAACATGTTATCTCAGTGTCAGTAAGTTTAGGAATGAAAATAGGGTTCTTATTCATGATATGCTCTATTTAAGTGGCAGATTAGTTTTTCACTATAGCCAAAATAACCAATCTGTATAGATTTAACTTTTCCTATTTTCATTTCAGGTGCAGAGCAAATTGGTTTTGAGCTAGTAGAGAAATTATTTCAAGGCCAACTGGTGTTAAGGACTCGTTGTTTGGAGTGTGAAAGTTTAACAGAAAGAAGAGAAGATTTTCAGGACATCAGTGTGCCAGTACAGGAAGATGAGCTTTCCAAAGTAGAGGAGAGTTCTGAAAGTAAGCAAAATTGGATTCTTTTATGGAGGATGGAATAGTTACTTTTCTTGACAGCTGCAGTCTCATTGTAGCTTAACGTGATTGGGGAGGGAAAAGCTGACTCTTAATGTCCTTGAGCTAACATACAATCTTTTGCTTATCAAGTCTCACTGTCAAGACTCAGCATTTAGGCTGGCACCGCAGCTCACCTGGCTAATCCTCCACCTGCGGCGCTGGCACCCCAGGTTCTAGTCCCGGTCGGGGCGCCGGATTCTGTCCCGGTTGCTCCTCTTCCAGTCCAGCTCTCTGCTGTGGCCTGCGAGTGCAGTGGAGGATGGCCCAGGTGCTTGGGCCTTGCACCCGCATGCTGTAGCAGCCACTTTGGGGGTGAACCAACGAAAAAAGAAGACCTTTCTGTCTGTCTCTCTCACTGTCTAACTCTGCCTGTCAAAAAAAAAAAAAAATTATTCAGCATTTAGAAAATTGTGGCGTCTTTGTTTTCATGAAGTGTGTTGGAATAGAAAAACAAAATGGTTAATAATTTGGGAGGAACAGAATATTACAGAGCTATAAAGGTTATTTTGAACACAGTACACTGTTGTGTCTCATGTAAATCACAAAAAGGATAGAAATGTCATGAGAAATAATCAGGAGATGAGTTTACCTGTCAGATACTAAAGACTGGCTAAACCATTCTGTCTTAAGCCTAATCTTTGCCTCAGTGTATCATACTTTTAATGAGGTAGCCTGTCTCTATCACTTAAAATTTTTTTGTTGACTAAATATAAATATTTAAAGAGCACATGTACACTATTGGGGATAAGCTTATAAAAGTTCCTGAAAGTATAATCTCTGAATACTAACTCTGTACATACAACTTTGTGACTTAACTTCCAAATGTCTCAGGGATTTGTGAGTGAAAAGATTATCTTTGTAGTTTCTCCAGAGCCAAAAACAGAAATGAAGACCTTGAGATGGGCAATTTCACAATTTGCTTCAGTGGAGAGGATTGTAGGAGAAGATAAATATTTCTGTGAGAATTGCCATCATTACACTGAAGCCGAACGAAGTCTTCTGTTTGACAAAATGCCTGAAGTTATAACTATTCATTTGAAGTGCTTTGCTGCTAGTGGCTTGGAGTGAGTATTATAAATAAAAGCTATATGAAGAAAATAAACTATAGAAGCTTTGTTATAATACTGTAATAGTAGGAATACAAAAGTACGGAAGTGAATTCATAAAGACTGCCTTTGAAGAGTTTTTTTTATTAAATAGCTTCCCTGTAAAAATGCATCAGTTTAAATCCTTTTGGTATGAATACATATTCTATTAAGATATGTTTCTTTATATCTTTCAGTTTCATTCTTAGAATTCAAAAACTGATTAAAGCTGGTAATAAATCTTGTATATATATATATATATTTTTTTTTTTTGAAGGGCAGAAAGGCAGAATTCTTTGCAGTTTCTAGGTAAGCTAGGAAACCAAAGTAGTCTTGGAAAATTTTTTTCTGTAGTTTAGAATTCAAAGGTCTAAAAGTGATTTAAAACATAAGTATAAAAATGTGAATTACATTTTGGATAGTCTTTTTCTGTTACGTATGTCATTCTAGATATTACTACTTTGTACATTCTGACTTGTTTGAAGTTACCATGAGAACTTCCCAGTAAATTTTATACCCTTTATTATGTTATAAAATGATAGTCTTTTAAAAAATTCTATTTTTTTGATAATACTATTGTTTGAGAGAGAGGGAGACATGTCTGTCTCCCTTCCATCTGCTGCTTCACTCTAAATGCTCATAGCAGCTGGGACTGAGCCAGGCTGAAAGCAGAAGCCTGAAACTCAATCCGAGTCTCCTGTGTGGGTGCTAGGGACAAAACTATTTCAGCCATTGCCTGCTGCTTCCTAGGATGCACATTAGGAGGAAGCTGGAATTGGGAGCAGAGCTGGAAATTGCAACTAACTGTAATATAATTTAAGAAAATAAAAGGGAAAGACAATCCAGAGACACCTAAATAAATATAACACTTATTTAAAAATATTTGTTTGTATATATATTTCAGAATTTAAGTCTTCTCTACTTTTGAAGGTATTCATATGAGCATCTAAATACTAAGGGTTCATTTAAACTTTTCACATGGGGTGTAAAATTTTGAATTCAAAATAGAAGTAGGCATTGTGGCTCATTAGCTTAAGCCACTGCTGCTTGGGAGTCCTATCCCACATCACAGTGGGGTTGAGTCCACCTATGGCTCAAGTACTTTAATCCTTTGCCACTCATGTGGGAGACCTGGATGAAGTTTTTGGTTCCTGACTTCAGCCTAGCCTATACTTAGCTATTGTGGGCATTTGGGGAGTGAATCAGCAGATGGAAAATAACCCATATTTTCTCTCTCTGTTTTTGTCTGTCACTCTGCCTTTTAAATAAATAAAAATGAATAAATAAACATGTAATTTGGAACTGCAGGAAACCTTGTTTCTTTTCCTCCCAAAGGTTTGATTGTTACGGTGGTGGACTTTCGAAGATCAACACGCCTTTATTGACGCCTCTTAAACTATCACTAGAAGAATGGAGCACAAAGCCAACTAACGACAGCTATGGATTATTTGCAGTTGTGATGCATAGTGGCATTACAATCAGTAGTGGGCATTATACTGCTTCTGTTAAAGTCACTGACCTTAACAGTTTAGAACTAGATAAGGGAAATTTTGTGGTTGACCAAATGTGTGAAATAGGTAAGCAAGAACCACTGAATGATGAGGAAGCAAAGGGTGTGGTTGAAAATTATGATGAAGAAGAAGTGTCGATTAGAGTCGGTGGAAATACACAGCCAAGTAAAGTTTTGAACAAAAAAAATGTAGAAGCTATTGGACTTCTTGGAGGACAAAAGAGCAAAGCAGATTATGAGCTGTACAACAAAGCATCTAATCCTGATAAGGTGGCCAGTACAGCATTTACTGAAAATAGAAATTCTGAGACTAACAGTACTAATGGGACCCATGAGTCTGATAGAAACAAGGACTCCAGTGACCAAACAGGCGTTAACATGAATGGATTTGAGAACAAAATTTCATATGTAGTACAAAGCTTAAAGGAGTATGAGGGGAAATGGTTGCTTTTTGATGATTCTGAAGTGAAAGTTACTGAAGAAAAAGACTTTTTGAATTCTCTTTCCCCTTCTACATCTCCTACATCTACTCCTTACTTGCTATTTTATAAGAAATTATAGAGTGAACGTATTTTCCTTGTATATATATTAAACAGACCTGGACAAACATTGGTAAAGTTGATTACATCAAAGAGTCTTGGCTTTTCTTTCGAAGCTATTGGATATTGGTCTCTCTAGGTTTTTATATAGTGAAATTTGAATTACTGAAAACCATGTTAATTTTTAGGATTCATTTTCCTTAGTAGAGACTAGTGATGCATTAGCTTCTGGGAACAAAGTTAAATAGATTCTTAACTGAAATTATCCAAAATGGAAGCATTTAAACACTTTTGGATTTACACGGATCTTTTGTTTGCTTTTTAAAATAAAGTGCTTGTATTTGTATCCTCCATATTTCGGAGTTAATTATCTACATGTTTTATAGGTCCTGTGGTTTTCATTTAAGAAGCAGAATCTCATTCAGTTCATTTAGTTTGATATCAGTCATGAAATCAAATCTTTGATGGCTGTGTCAGAGGCACAAAGTCTAGAATGTGTGTATTCACAATGGTGTATAATTGTGCCTTGAATCATTTTGGAGTGTCTCAGCCTGGACAGTCCCCTTCTATCTTCTCAAGAATTTTATATGTATTTATGAAGATCCTGTACTCTAGTAAATCTTTTTGGGCATGGACTCATTTGTATCTCTTCATACCCATATTCTGCACGATCTGTATATAGTACATCAGACTTAGAGGTGTGACCTTTAAATTTAACTTTTTTTAAAACTGGGAGGTCAATAAAATTTAAACTGCTTAACAACTATGTATACAAATACTTGGATTTTTTTACTTGCTTATTTCTATCATAAATACAGTTGATTTCTCTTAAAAAAACATGTATGTGTATGTTTAGATATATCTGTATAGAAAAGAGAATAAACATGCACAATTACCTTGGTAATATTCAGGACTTTTTGACTGGAGGTGAAGAACTTTTCAAAGAGAAGAAATTGTGCTTAGTCCATCCAAGTTGTCATACTTAAGAGGTTTATAATAAAAGTTGTCGCATCCTAGTTGTCCTTTATATAGACATTATTTAATGGAATCCACAACTGGAGAACTTATGCTTTGGGCACATATAAAAACTTGGTTAAATCTTCATTTTTAGCAGATGATCAATGATCTTATGTCTTGTTAAAGGACATTCTTGTTACTAAGGTTTTCTTAAAAATTATTCTGAACAATAAATATAAAGACTGTTGGAGTAACACTGCTAAATGTTCTATTTCAACAAATAAGAGTTGCTGGTCAACTAGTAAATTAGTGACTTTCTTCTATAAAGTCATGGTACTTCTTCCCCTTTACTGCATTTACAGTGATTAATGGAACTTTTAAAGAGAGACAACCCTGTGCACTGTCTGTAAGCTTCTGATAGAGTAGGTCTAGGATAGAACCTGGACCTCAAAAGATAGCCAATGTTAAGAACTAACACAAATTCCTGATGTGAGAAAGTTTGTGTTTTAAGAAAACTGATGTAAGAAGTTAGGATGTGTTTTGCATCATACCATTGTGTTTATAAGAGTTCTGACTGAAGTCAGAGAATTGGGTATTTCAAGATAATTAAATCATTGTATGTCTTTAATCCTTGATCTTGTCACTGAGATTTGTGTGAAACAGTCCAAAGTTCTAACTACAAGTACCTAAAGAGAAGTGACCTAAGGTTTACCTCTCCCTCCCTCAAAAAAGTTTCTTTTCTCCACTCATTGCCTCCTTCTGGTCATTTGTCTCTTCTTTCCCCAATATAGATTTTTGAAGTTATGCCCTCTGACTTCTCAACTCTTTTTGGTCCAACAACATACGTTGATCTGATAAACCCTGTTGTGATTCATTCAGTCTTTGGGTTGCTAAGATAAGGAATTTGAGATAATACTGCATGTTCCTAAGTATGAGTGAGAGGGGTGCATCAGAGTATACTAGCATCACCTACATGCTCAGACATTTTTGAACTCGTTTTTTACAGCAACTGTAGAATGAAGGCAGTGTATTAAATCTGAACAGTTATTAAGTGATTTATATAACTTCAGTAGAAACATAGGTGTCATACTACAAAGCAGTAATCCGACTCAAAAAATATTTAAAATACTTCCAGAAATTACTAATATGTACTGTGGAAAAAATTGCCAAATAACTGAAATGCTAATTTCTCAAACTGTTTTCTACATTACTTTTTCATATGTTAAATGAATTAGTTAATTTTGACTCAAGCAACTAATTTTTTACAAGAGTTTTGTAAAATCCATACAAAAGTCAGAAAGTACCTTGGCTTGTTTAATTTGAAACACAGGAATCACTTGTTTCAGCTGCCAGAAGACATGAAATTCATAAAGATTTTATTATCACAAAACTGAATCATAAATATTAAGCTCCTGTCACTTGGTATTAACTATTCCAGTATTTAATCATTTATAGAAGTTTTATCAGGTAAAGTCAGTATTAAAAGTTCATGGAAAATAGAATTAAAAAGTTTATTTTGGTGGAAACACTTTGAAATCCACAGGTTTTTCTAATGCTCATTTTCTGTGAACTTTTTGAACATCCCTCATATGCATTGCTTTCAAGACTAACTGCACCAGAATAAACATTTTCAAAATGTCAAATTCCTTTTTTTGGAATCAATGCAAAATAGTTTAGAAACTAATTTTTAAGACTTCACAAAACCATTACTACTACCTATCCTCTCTCATTAACTCACTTAATTTGGGGCTGTTCTTTGGGCCCATGAAGTGCCTGCAAGTTTTTTGCTAGTTTTAGAACTAGTTCTTGAATCTGCTCTTAACTGTCTGCCTTTGTCAGTAAAGAAAAGTTTTAAGTCTCACTCAGTAAAATTAGTGTAAACATTCACATATTTAATAGTACCTTTAAAATAAGCATTACTACATTTAAAATGGTACCAAAATGAATCTATAAATGGTAATATAAATTAAAAAATATGAACTTAAAAGTAAATAAACTTAACATTAGCTATGATATAAATAACAGTAAATGTATAGTGTACCTTTTGTGTCATTAAAATGTCAAAAAAAGAGATAACAGTATGTTACCAGAACAGTAGAAACTACAGCCATGATTCTCAAACTTTTAACAGTCTACATTTGATACTGTTTTGGCATTCTTCAATGACTTAATGCTGTAATTTTCAGAAGTACATCCTAAGTCATTTTTCAATAGATCGTTGAACTTTTCAGGTTCAATGTTGAATACATGGCTCTTTTCATATGAATGAAACAGTGCATTTATTTTAGAGATCCATTTTGCGAAGGCTCATTCGGCTGAAGGAATCTCTGGGAAAAAAACGAGAGGGCACAGATATAAGAAAGTAATTTCTACATATGCGTTTAAAATGTTGTACATACCTCTCTGCTGGATTTCACCAGTTTTGCCACCAGTTCTTTCAAGTTAGATGCTCATCCTACATACTCTGCTTTACATTTGTATATTTTGGCCTACATTTTTCTCTACAGATTAGAAGCATAGTAACCACTCTGGCAAATCTATTGGTCATTTATTCATTTGTCCAATGTGTGCTTCAGGTACTGTGATAAATAAGACAAACATTTAAGTATTAACGAGAAACTTCAGGAGAAGATTTGTGGTTATTAAATGGCAAAGCAGGTGTTTTCTAAATTTTTCTTTTGTTAAAGATTTATTTATTTATTTTGAGAGGTTTATTTTGAGTTACACAGAGAGGAAGAGACAGAAAGGTCTTCCATGCATTGGTTCATTCTCCAAATGGCCACAATGCCTGGAGCTGAGCCGATCCAAAGCCATGAGCTGCTTCCGGGTCTCCCATTCAGGTAACAGGCCCAAGCATTTGGGCCATCTTCCTCTGCTTTCCCAGGCTATAAACAGAGCTGGATTAGAAGAGGAGCAGCCAGGACACAAACGGGTGCCCATGTGGGACAGCTGCCTACTATGCCACAGCGCTGGCCCCTAAATTTTAAGTCTTAAACTTCTTGAACTTTGTCTCAAGTCCTTTTACATTCTTAAAGATTATTTAGTAATTATGTTCTTACCACTCACGTGGGAGAGCTGGATTAAGTTCTGGGCTCCTGGCTTTGGCCCCTAACCATTAGTGGCTTGCTCTCTCATCTGTCTTCCTGTTTCTCTGCCTCTCAAACAAATTTTAAAAACCTTCCAGGGAGGAAAAACGTCATACGCATGCACACAAATTAATGAGGGCCCCAGGAATCTTGTGGGTTATACAAGGTTAATGTCAAAAGAATATAGGCTGGCGCCGCGGCTCAATAGGCTAATCCTCCACCTAGTGGCGCCGGCACACCGGGTTCTAGTCCCGGTCGGGGCGCCGGATTCTGTCCCAGTTGCCCCTCTTCCAGGCCAGCTCTCTGCTGTGGCCAGGGAGTGCAGTGGAGGATGGCCCAAGTGCTTGGGCCCTGCACCCATGGGAGACCAGGAGAAGCACCTGGCTGCTGCCATCGGATCAGTGCGGTTCACCGGCTACAGCGCGCCAGCCGTGGTGGCCATTAGAGGGTGAACCAACGGCAAAAGGAAGACCTTTCTCTCTCTCTCTCTCACTGTCTACTCTGCCTGTCCAAAAACAAAAACAAACAAACAAAAAAGAATATAGAAAAATGGGATTAAAAGATAGTTTTATTTTGTTCCAGGCACTGGAGGGTTCTTTGGAAAGTTTGTGGAAAATATGTATTGTATATGGATTTCAAGATATTTGCACCATAACAAGTTTATCTTTTCTCCCACTTATCATGAACTTTTTGAAGTACTGTGATAGTAAGAAAAATTTAAAGTAATATTCTCCAAGAGAACCCATTACATGTTACTATAAATAACAGTTGCTTCTGTATTCAATCTAAGAGTATCACATTCCATGTAATCCAGAAAACTTCAGAATGAGAAAAAGGACAATGACCACAAAAATCTGAAAAGTTCTTAAGAATCCCTTCTCCCTCATTGGTCCCATTCACACTTGGAGAACCATTGTCTTAATATTCCAGATTTATAAGTCAGCAAAGTTAAAAATTTTTATTTTGTGAATTTTGAAGAGTGAAGGGGATGATATTCTTGAAATATCTCTTAAGGTATTTCCTTTATCCTTAAGTTAGTTTTTAATTTTCCTGCCATTAAAACTGAACCATGAGAGGCCAGTTACAAAGAGACTACATTGAGCTTTGAATATAAAAACTTGGAAAATAGCAGTAGTAGAGACAAGATGAGTGGAGGCAACAGGATGAAACTGCAAAAAGATTGAAGAGGGAACCACAAATGGAGGGGGGGAGGTGGCTACCATGAAAGGGGACCTCCTTTTAGGGTGTCACATCAGTATAGGGTGATGGAAGCAAAGTTTTGTCAGGGAAAGCATGCTGGGTCTCTGATCTCCCTGTGTTCCGGAAGAGAGCCAGAAGGTTTATATGCTCTCTGTGGGGGAGATGGCATACAGCAGGCACTTAGTATGACATTTTTCTGAATGAATACGTGAACAAGTGATTTTTTTGTAGGTCTAGAGATAAATATTAGGCCCTGCTAACAGGGACTAATCCCCAGATGGGTTAAACAGTTTAACTTTCTTCCACAGTAAAGTCTCAAGCATTCACACTGTTTTCATGTAAGCAACTTCACTGAGACCCTCCAGATATTAATTTATCCAATAATTGTACTTTAATAGCTTTACTGTTAGGAAAGGGTGGTAAAATTATCACTGTCACAATAATTCAATAGTTGTATGTGAATTTGCTTTCAAAAGTTAAAAAAAGGCCGGCGCCGCGGCTCACTAGGCTAATCCTCCACCTT